AGGTCAATGGTCTAACGACTACGGCATGCACGACTATGAGTACACCCCCAAATTGACGACCCCAAAAGGGACCGGTTTCCCTCCACTCACTGTAAACACTCCAGCACATCCCTTTCGACTGGGTTTATATCTCGAACGAGTAGTCTTTCTGTGAGATTTACGTTCTAAAAAAAGGGATGACCCGCTTCTGACGGTGCTAGTCGATCCTTTTTCTCATCCGAGTCATCGATATTATAAGAGACTCTCTGCAACGGCTGCTCGTCACACATAATGCACCTTCTCACCGATGTAGTTTTTCAGTGATATCTCCTCACAGAGTGACGCAGCAGCAACTGTAAAGCTATCGCATACAAGCTGTGTGCATGGCCCATCTTGTGTGGGGACTGATGGAGACCACAGGACGATGCGAGGCACGGAAACTGGGGTGACGAGAGTCAACATCACAGTGAAAATAGCCCACCGCGTCAGCAACCAGTTTTTTTTCTCTTTTGCCCGTGTCGCAACTTTGGCTTGCCGGTGATCCCTCGCCACCCACTCAAGCAACAGTGATGACCAAGGTATGCGCCATGAGCTGTGCGTATAGTTCGTCTTGGGTGATGGTTGATACAGACCAGGAGGCTGTAGCACGCCCAGATGTTGGGTTCGCAAAGTTGACAGTACACGAAAATTTACTCACCGCTGCTGCGTCCAGGCTCTCTCGGCTCGTTTTGGCGCTTGTTTGTCGCAAACATCGGGTTGCCCACCTGGTCGAGCCGAATAAAAAATCAACGGCTACCGCCGATGCTACCGACTCTGTACCAGCCACATCACACAACTCGTGTGCCCACCGTTAGATGCGGGGATCACCCTTCGAGCGATTCAAAGTTGAGTCTGTGGTTGTGACAACAAATTTTGACACCCCAATCCTGTCTCAACTTTCTGAAAAAAGACAGGATAGCGTGTTGTCTTTTTTCTGAAAAATGACGGGAAAAGACACCGTAATGAGAGGGGGTTCTTTGGCCAGTTGTCTGTTTTTGGGATGACAAAAGGAAAAATATAAGAGAACGGAAATGGTAGTACTGCTGGTTCTGCCGGCATTTCTGATTGCAAGATATCCCCCAGTGCTGTGAGGTCGTGGTTGTGTGTGTGTAATTACATTTTCGAGCGGGAATCCAACTCCTGGCACAATGTGGTGGAAACAAGTCAAGCCTAGAATGTTTTGAAACGGTCCCACCTTCAATAATACACATGTTTCTGCGGGGCACGTACATCTACTGAACCGATAATCACGGTCTATCTACCGCACCGGTCGATGCCGTACAGTGATTTGTTTGTATGAACACGTCTCGGTTTGTGGGCCATACGATGGCGCGGCAGCTGGGGGACATGGGAACACAGCGCTGCCGGTTTCGTGCCCACTGGATGTACAGTAGTTTCAAAACTGTTCGAGGGTAGCAGACTGTCAAACCTACGACACCGCCGAAACGGTGATGTGGCCTCATTCTTGGCACTCAGCAACCATGTGTCGGTTTGGACCGAACGACGGCGTGTGCGAAAGCTAGGGCCAGTGGAAACACGGCGCAGTTGGTTTTGTGCACGTTGCATGTGATTTTCAAGAAAATGTACAGTGGTGTCATAGATAAGCTCGTCTTCTGTGCATACAACACCACCGAAGCGTGGAGCTGTGGCCACATTCTTGGGCGTATCTCGGGAACCATGTGTCGGTTTCGGCCGAACGACGACTTGTGTGACAACTGGAACCCGTGGTAACACAGCACAGTTGGTTTCGTGCCTCTTTGGAGTTTGTTCGGAAGAGATTCGAGCTGTGTCGTATGTACAGTTAAGCTTGTCTACGACACCGCCGAGGTGGTGCCGTGAGGTCGTGTTGGGCCATATCTCGGCGACCACCGGTCACTTTCGGCCAACCGAGGGCTTGCGCGACGGCTGAGACCCGCGGGACCGTAGTGAAGGTGGCTTCGAAGCATTTGAAATGATGTCGGAATAACAGATTACGACACGGGTGTCGTAAATAGTAGATGTCATTTACCTGTTTAAATAAGAAGTAGCTCGACGGTGCCAACTGGCAGACCAATGAATTTGACATGATTCTCAATGTGACGAACAACAGACGCGGTGCGTGTGTGTATGCGGTGGCGCCCTTTCCACCTTGGTGCATCCTTCAGGCCGCTCCTACAGATTTGGTCGTGGCTCTTCAGGTACATCCATATCGCGGTCGACACGTTTGTCCTGTACGGCGTGCTTCAAGAGGGAAGCATCGATGAGCGCGGCGGAGACGATCGTTCGTCTCAAAACAACCGCCACAACTTGTCTGGGCACTCGGACCGACTGTCTAGCAAGCCCCGGCCTGGCGGCGGTTACACGAGCAAACCCACCGGAAACGCAAGCGCACCCATGGTCTAGGCCGATCGATCGGGCACGGGCACATGAGTGGTTTTACAGTCAGACGTTGCCCCCATGAACTTGGGAATGATGGATGCTATGCTTACCTCCGTCACGCCACCCGTGCGGAATTTTTTTGAGCTTGCCCGGGCTTGCTGACTATTGGAGAAGCAATTGGTGCTGACGTTGGCTGGGCACTGCTGTTGTTGTTTTTTTGGGAAAGTATTTAATTGTTTGTGCCGGCAGGAGCGGTTCTGCGGTTTGAAGGGGGATACAATCGAATGCCGATAATACCACAAGCTTAGACGTGCATCTACGCCAGCAAGCAAGCACGATTCGTTTTTATCGCCGTTAGGTGTTTGGATACCTGTTGCTTGTGTCTTGCGTTCTCTTCGTGCTATGATGTTGAAAGATGTGGTGGGTCTGTTTCGTGTTACATGACATGGGGATATAGCGTGAGTGGCAAGGATCTAGTTGTTGTGTACATTCGAAAGGAAGGGCGTCTCTCCATGTCGGTGCAATGTTGGCGATGCAGGTGATTGAGGCCGGGGTGTGCAGCGTGGGCGTAAGTCGTGTATCCCGGTCAAGATCACCGTGACAAGCATCAGCCAGTATTGACAACCTTTTTCTTAACTGGATTTTAAAAAGTTGCCGTCGTATGTGGCACTTAACATCGTTGCCTTTGTTTGACAATGCTGATCGCAGTTGATCGGTTGTGATTTTTTTCGCCTTGTCGCCTGGCTTTTGGAGAAGCCAACGAGGCCCTCGCTTCCATTGCGGCGTTTTAGCTTGAGTTTGGAAGCGCGTCATCGTGTTGCTGGTTCGATCGAAAGTGCTTGGTGCGACACAGGGAGGGCCGCGCGAGTCACTTGCTCCCAGTGGCCGAATCCACCAACGAGTACTGATACTCATCCCAATCCACCAGTAAAACCTCTCAAGCAAGCTAAGCGTGCGAGCGGTACCAAGATGGCAGAGGGCGTTGGCATGACAAGCTTGCATGACCCAAGGTCGCATTAACATGGGCACGTAGATACGAGTGGGTTCGTCATTCAACAGACGTGC